TGGTGGGGGTAGGTGGCCCTCACCTGCCTGTCCTGACTGCCCTCCTGCCCTTGCCTACCCCCCGCTTCCCACCTCAGAAAAGCTGATCCAGGCAAAGCTGGAAGATGTGAACCATCAGTTGCACTCCCTGTGTGGGGCTGAGGGTCCTTCGACCATCAGTGAGGGTCTCTTCCTGCGCAGCAAGGAGGCTGTGACTGCTGTGTAAGGATGGGGGCAGGTGAAGGAGGGGTCGGAGAGGGAGAAACAGAGGAGCTGACGCTCCTTTCCACCACCAGGCAGCTGTTTGAGGAGGAGAAGAGCAAGGCTGAAGCGCTTCTGGAGGCTGCGGCCCAGCGCCAGCAGCAGCTGCAGGAGAAGTGCCAGCAGCTGCAGGAGAAGTGCCAGAGGTGGGCACAGAACCCCTAGCCTCGGGGTGGGCATCTGGGTATCTCCTCATCCTTGCGGCTTCATACCCTCTTGTCTCTCCTTCCTACTCCACTTCCTGTCCAGGCTGAAGGAGGAACTGGAAAAGCGTGGAGTAGCGGTTCCGGCCCAAGCCCACAAGGTCCAAGAGGAAGGGGCCATCCCTGGAGAGGTGGAGAACCAGGGATTAGGGAGGTGGGAGGAGGTTCGAAAGCAGGGAGGGGGCCGATGGGAAGGGCGTTCTCAGTAGAGGCTACAGCTGTGATCGAGGCAGTGGTGGAAAGATGGGGAAAGACCCGAGGGGGTGGGCTTGGGTGCTTGTTGAGTTCTACTGCACACCAAGGCCCCTCATTCCTCCTAGGCACAGTGCCTCCTACGGACCAGTGCCAAGCCCCTTCAGGCCCATGAGGAGAAAGATCTGGAGCAGTCCAATAACTAGGGCCAAACACAAGTCTATGGACCTCCCCATGGACCCCTGCACCACCTCCTCCCCATCCGACCTTATTCCACAGGGTCACAGGAAATAAAGATGTTATTTTCATACTACCTGCCTTGGCTGAGTCTACTGGGGGATATAGGTAGGGGTCAAGTCCAGGGTCCCCCCTCTAACTCAGAGCCTAGGTGAAGTCTTGGCCTAGCTCTGCTCATTGCCCCCAGCTGAAGGTGCACAGCAGGTGCTCAGGAAAGGCTTGAGAACAAACTGTAAACCATACATGGGTGAAAGCTGCTTTAACCCCATGCAGGTTCTCTACAGTTTTCTACTGATGAGGTTAACATTGTATCAGTTGGCAAAGAAAATACTAAAGGGCCTAGACCCATTTTCACAGAGCTGGCAAAACACGTGTACTTGGAGCAGAGATAGATAAATGGTACATCTGATAATAGGTAAACTTTAAAAATCAATAGTAAACATATTTAAAGGTGACATGTAGAAAAGTCAACTCAATATAAAATAATGTGTAGATTCTGTGCTATCCTATCAGACTCAAAGTGGTTTTTTAGAAAAGGAATTGATAAGTTATTTCTAAAATGTACTTGGAAACATAAAGGTGAAAGAACAGCCCCAAGGATCACCTAACAGATCTATGTGGTAAGAGGACTTCCTCTACCAAATACCAGTACATACGATCAAGCTAGAGTAATCAAGACAAAATTGGCAATGAGATGGATACACAGACGGATGGGACTGAAGAGAGAACCCTGAACAAGTCCCTTGCGGTTTTAGACATTTAATACCTGCTGGAGATTGCACTTCAGGGGACCAAGGCAAACCTCCCAGGGATGCTGCTGGTACGATCACGTATCTATATGTATCTTAGGCTGGGTTCTCCAGAGATGTAAAACCATGTGCTTCACTGGTTTTACTTATCTGGAGAACCCAGCCTAAGACAGAACTGCATGAGCTATTTTCTTGAGGTAATTTTTGATCTCACTGTGGGTGTGGGTGTGTGTATACACATTAGAGAGGCTGGCAGGTCCAAAGTCTGTGGATCAGATGTCAGACTGGAGGCTTCTAATTCATAGATGCAGGGGCTGATGAACCCAGGATTAGCAAGTAAGATGGCAGGCTGTTGGCTCACAGGCTGCAAAGGCAGAAATCCCAAAATCAGTAGGCAATAAGGCAGGCCGCTGATTCAAGTCCAAGATCCAAAGTCAGATGGTGATGAGCCAGATGCAGGATCCAAATTGAGCCGAAACCCAGAGAGCTTTGCTATAACGTCCGTAAGTCTGCACCCATGAGGAAACGCCCTTTCCGTAGATTAGCTGCTCACAGCCGATTTCATGGGGATGACTAAATCATGACTGCTAAACCACTTAGAATCCTTCTAAAGTTAAACGACTTAAAATCTTTCTCTGCCAAGGTCACTCTTTTTGGTGAGCATTCACATGGGACACAATATCTTCACTTCTCTGTGCTATTCATAGAGGTCTATCCATACACCTTTTTGTCACCAGTTTTCCAATCATTGTTCACTCCAAGTCCCACAGCCCATGAAACAATATACAATCACATATCTGGCCATTTCTCCTTCTGAGAAAAGTGAACAACCAGGTATACTACTCTGATCCTCTGCCCAATGGGAAGATTTCCTTTCACTACTGTCCTTCAAGGAGGTCCCAGAAAGGGTCTGCAGTACTGCTGCCATCCACTTTTGAGCAGTGTCTGCATACTACACAGAACCATCTGTAAACCAGGCACAAGTTTTCTCTTCCTCAGTCCACTGACTCCCCATGAGGCCATAGGTATGGAGTGGGAGAGGGAAGGTAATGTGACTGGAGTGGAATCTCTATGCATTTAGGCCTCTTCCTCATATCACGTCCTTCAGGTCATGCTCGAGCCTGATCTCTTACATACCACTTTCATTTAATGATGGAGTGCTACTATGCATTTCCAACTTTATGATTGGGTCAGAGTCATGATGGGCAGTTCAGGTTGCATATGACTTGGTGGCCCATGTTAAGTATTCAGTTTCTACTAAGACCCAGTAACAAGCCAAAACCTGTTTCTCAAAAGGAGAATACTTACATGCAGAGGATGTCAGGGCTCTTACCTAAAATCCTAAGGATCTATACTGTGATTCATTGGTAGGGGGTATGCCAGAGACTATAATCAGCATCTTTGTACAGTAGTCTCAACATGTTGCAAAGCATTTTTTTGTTCTTGGCCCCATTCAAAACTAGCAGTTTTTTGAGTCACTTTATAAATAGGCCTGGGTAGCCAACACAAATGAGGGATATGTTGCATTCAGACTTCAGGGGCCACGTAGGCATTGGACCTCCTTTTCAGTTGTGGGTGGGCCCAGATGCAATAACTTTAAGGGAATGTATTCACATGCCTCACATCACTAGACCCCTACAAATTTCATTGAGATGGAAGGCATCTGAATTTTTGTCAGACTAATTTCCCATCCTCTAGCATGCAATTGTCTTAATAAGTCAAGAATTATTGATACTTCTTCCTTACTAGATCCAGTCACAATAATGTCAGCAATGTAATGGACCAATGTGACATCTTGTAGAAGGGAAAAGTGATCAAGGTTTGTGTACACTAAACTAAGACATAATGCTGGAGAGCTGATAAACCTCTGAGGTAGGATTGTGAAGGTATTCTGCAGTATCTTGCTCTGTTGGAACAATGGCCTCTTGGTCTATGTACAAGTCCCTCATGAGCACCATAACGTGTTCTGAAATTCCCATTCTTCATAATGTTATCCATAATTTGTTATGATCCACACAGCCAGATGCCTTTGCATAGTCAATAACACAGGTGGATATCTCTCTGGTATTCTTTGCTTTCAGCCAAGATCTATCTCACATCAACTGTGATATCCCTCTTCCATATCCTCCTCTGAATCCAACTTGAATTGTTGGATGTTCCCTGTCAATATACTACTGCAACCGTTTTTGAATTATCTTCAGCAAAATTTTGCTTTCGTGTGATACTAATTATACTGTTTGATAATTTGCACATTCTGTTCGATCACCTTTCCTTGGAATGGGCACACATATCAATCTCTTCCAGTCAGGTGGCCAGGTAGCTGTCTTCCAAATTTCTTGGCATAAACAACACCTTCAGTGCCACATCCATTTGTGGAAACGTCTCAGCGGGCATCCCATCACTTCTTTGAGCCTTGTTTTTGCCAGTGCCTTCAGTGCACCTTGGACTTTTTTCAATACCATTGGTTCTTGATCATATGCTACCTCCTGAAATAGTTGAACACTGGCCAGTTCTTTTTGGTACAGTGACTCTCTATTCCTTCCATATCATTTTTATGCTTCCTATACATCATTCAGTATTTTGCCCATTGAATCCTTCAGTACTATACCTTGAGGCTTGAATTTTTCTTCAGTTCTTTCAGCTTGAGAAATGCTGAGTATGTCCTTTCCTTTTGGTTTTCTAACTCCAGGTCTCTGCACATCTCATTAAAATACTTTGTCTTCTTCTGAAGCTGCCCTTTGAAGTCTACTATTTGGCTTTTTTATTTTGTCATTTCTTCCACTCGCTTTAGCTACTTTACATTTGAGAACCAGTTTCAGTCTCTTCTGACATGGATTTTGGTCTTTTCTTCCTTTCCTGTTCAATGACCTTTTGCTTTCTTCATATGATGTTCTTGATGTCATCCCACAACTCATCTGGTCTTTGGTCGTTGGTATTCAATGCATCAAATCTGTTTTTCAGATGATCTCTAAATATAGGTGGGATATAATCAAGATCATATTTTGGCTCTCATGGACTTGTTTTACTATTCTTCAGCTTCAACTTGAACTTGAATATGAGCAATTGATGGTCTGTTCCACACGCAGCTCCTGGCCTTGCTTTGACTGAAGATACTGAGCTTCTCCATGGCCTCTTGGCACAAATGTATTTGATCTGATTCCTGTTTATTCCATCTGGCCTATGTGTATAGTTGCCTTTTAGGTTGTGGCATCCAAAGGTGCCTGCGATGAATATGTCATCGGTCTCGCAAAATTCTGTCATGTCATCTCCAGTGTCATTTCTATCACCAAGGCCATGTTTTCCAGCTATCGATGATTCTTCTTTGTTTCCAACTTTCACATTCCAATCACCAGTAATAATCAATAATAAACATGACTGCATCTTTGGTAAATTTCAGACTGCAGAAGTTGGTAAAAATCTTCAATTTGTTCATCTTTGGTTTTAGTGGTTGGTGTGTAAATGTGAATGATAGTAGTAGTACCTAGTCTTCCCTGTAGGTGTATGGATATTACCCTATGACTAACAGCTTTGTACTTCAGGACAGATCTTGATACGTTCTTTTTGATGATGAATGTGATGCCATTCCTCTTCAATTTTTCATTCCCAGCATAGTAGACCATATGGTTTTCTGATTCAAAATGGCCAATGCCAGTCGATTTCAGCACATTAATACCTGGGATGTGTTTCTGCATCCCATTTCATTTTTGATACCTTACTGTCCTAGATTCATAATTTGTACAGTTTGTGTTCTGATTATTAATGGATAATTGCAGCTGCTACTTCACATTTTGAGTCATGTCCCATTAGCAAATGAAGGCGCTGAAATCTTTGCTCCATCCACATCACTAAGGTCGACTCTACTTTGAGGAGGCAGTTCTTCCACACTTGCATTTTGAGTTCCTTCCAACCTGAGGGGCTTGTTTTTGGGCACTGTATCACACAATGTTTTGTGGCTATTTGTAAAGTTTTCCAATAATAAATAGTGTTTCACTGACAAACAAGTGAAATGACAGGCGGGCTTATAAGGTGAC